GCCTTCATCACCTGCAAAAATTATCCCCTCTTTATTTGTCCCTCCTGCCCCCACACTGTGAGCTAAGGATAGACACCATGACTTGTGCTCCCTTGAATATCTCACTCCAAGCACAGTCTCAGGCACATGATTAAATACTCAAAATAACATATATATATACACACACACACACACACATTTTAAAGTAAAAAAACACATATATTTTGCAATGCTGGGATCAAACTTGGAGCCTTGTGTATACCAGACAAGCACTCTACCACTGACCCCTCCTAAATATTATGTTTTAAAAATATTAATTTGCAACTTACGCAAATTTTATGCAAAAATAGTGAAAAGAACTTTCATATACCCTTGATCAAGATTCATCTGTTCTAAAGATCTTGTTACATTTGCTCTATCACTGTTTCTCTTGACACAAACAGACAAGTGCCAGCACACAATTCTTTTTCCTGAAACACTTGAGAGAAGGTTGCAGACATTGGGTCCCTTTTGCCCCTTAGTACTTCAGTGTTTTTATTTCCTAAGAGCAAGGACATTCTGTTATATAAGCACAATAGTGTTTCAAGCTCAGGAAATGTAACATTGATACAGAACACTGTCATAGAATCTACAGTTCATTTTCAAATTTTAATTGTCCCAATAATGGCCTGCATAGCTATTTTTTTAATCATTCATGATCCAGTCTAGGATCACATTTGTAAATAGTTGTCATGTGTCTTAGTTCTCATAAATCTCCTTGAGTCTTCATCTTTTTTCTTTTTTTCATTTTTTTTAATCTTTTATTATATTGGCGTTTTGGAGGAGTATAGGTCAATTAGAATGTCCTTCAGCTTAAGTTTGCTTGGTATGTCCTTTGTGTGGCATGATGAATCGGGGTTTTTTTTTTTTTTTGGCAGAAGTAAAACAAATAGGCTAGATTATTGTTGATTTTTTAATTTTGATTCCTTGATGAGAATGATGTCTTCCAGGTTATTTTCACTGTAAAGATTCCATTTTTTCTGTTGTGTACTTCATAACTAATGTATGTTAAGTACTTTGAGACTATGTAAATAATCATGTTTCTCACAAATTCTGACTCCCTAGATTTATAATCTATTGATGGCTATTGTCAACCTCGGCCAACCAGAAACTTCTGTTCTAAGCAAAAGTAGGCATCCTTTCTGCAGGACTCATTTAATCAGTGGGTACATATTATTTTGAAAATGACTATTTGGTAAACACCACAGACTCTAGGCGTAGACAAGGCGCAGCCTGGTTTGAAAGCCCATAATACTTTATAGCACTTGTAAACCTTAGATGAGGCTAGTTCTCCTGAAAGTTCCCTGGTCTTTATCAGGGCCCAGAATGGACTCTACAGCTTTCCCAAGATAGTCTCCATGCAGAAGGTAGCAGGCAGCAGCTGTTGGCTTGGTATACCCCACACCTGTGCATCCCAGGCCCGCCTGCTTTTGCTCTTCTCCATCAAACTTAAGAGAGTTACCTTTTGGTGTATTTGGAAAATATGGAATGCAATTCAGTGTTCCACACAGGCTCTCATGTCATTCTGAAGACCCACATGTTAATGTGCTTAGACCAAGGTGTCCTTTTCATGTAGATTCATGTACTTAGAAGGACAGGGTACCATGGACTACATAGAGGGCAGAGGGTGGTGGGGCTGTTTCTGTTTGGGGAGTGTTTTATTTCCAGCTACACAACTCCAATCTGTGTTTCCATCTTCATATGGCCTTCTTTCTTCTGTGTCTCACATGATGTTCTCGTGTGTGTGTGTGTGTGTGTGTGTGTGTGTATGTGTGTATGTGTGTGTGTGTCCAAATTTACCTCTTTTTAAAGGACACTAGTTGGATTATGGCCCACCCTAAGGCCTTCTCTTAACTATTAGCTGAAACTTTTTTTTTAACATTTTATAATATGGGGGGCAGAGCTCACAAAAGAAGTTACCTGAATCCTTAAAAACCACAAATTTGGAGACCTTTTTAAAAAAGAACAGATACAAAAATATATTTTAGTTGTTGAAGAAAGCAAAAAAGGACATAAGGTCTAGAAGATAAAAGCTGTATTTAAAACCATGCTAAAGAATAAATTAAAACAAAGAAGAAGAAAAATGTGTCAGAATTTAATCCTATTATAAATGAATATCATCTCTATGGGACTGTATGACTCACCTTAACAATATTCAAACAACAAAAACCCTACTAACAAAAGAGCCTCAACACTCCTTTAGGGTTGGTTGTGACAGGATTTGTCCTGCTTATGCGGTATGCATGAAAAACAACATAAAGATAATATCTAAAATATGAAACTGTTTCTTTAAATAGCACTTATTGATCTTAAATCCAATTGAGTAAGTGATCAGCTATGACTTGAAGCTTGTCATCATGGGATGGGGGAGTCATTTAAAGCTAAAGAGGACTCTTCTATACTTCGTTCATGTGCCTTGAAAAAGTATAATATTGCACGTTTCTCTTCAGTGTTAAATATCTACTGAGAATTAAAGAATAGATGAAACTTCCTAGCCATTTCCAAGAATTCACATGATAAAAGGTAATCATTTTAGAGTTTATATATGCTCAGTTTTCTTAAAGCCATAGATTTTATTCTAGAAAGTAGAAAGTATACGGCACTAATAAACCAAATATGTCGTAAATTCTAGAATGCCAGATTAAGGGATCTTTATAGTGGCAAACCTTACATCTGCAAAGAGCCTTTTTCCAAATAGGGGCACATTCACAGGACTTCAACATACCTTTTTGAGGAATATGATTCCATCTGTAAGAGGAACCATATCTGAAATCCAACCCATCTGAGAACCTGAAATGGAGTGCTGTTGTCTATGATATTTAGCTCAGAAGAACCAACTGTCTCTCTTGCTCTCTCTAGTTTTGGTTGGCTTGCCAACATGTAAGGAAAGAAAATGACATAGGCAGAGCATGCTCAGCCCCCTTGAAATAGATTTAGGACATTATTTTCAAATGATCACAAGCTATTCATGTAACTATTACATAGCGGACAATAATAGAAAACAATCGCAGTCTGCACAGCTTTGCCTCTGCATTCCCTCCTATAATTCTAATAGTTGCTTAAGGATATAAATATAGCTGGGTGGTGGTGGCGCATGCCTGTAATGCCAGCAGCTTGGGAGGCTGAGACAGGAGGATCCTGAGTTCAAAGCCAGGCTCAGCAACTTAGCTAGGCCCTAAGCAATTCGGGAAACCCTGTCTCTAAATAAAATATAAAATAGGTCTGGGGATGTGGATTAGTGGTTAAGCAACACCAGGTTCAATCCCTGGTACAAAAAAATATTAATATAGTTGTCACCGTCGGACAGATGGGAAGCACGAGACCCAGAGAGGCAAAGTGAGACTTCCTGTAGGTCACACAACTACTGACTTAATAAATTCAAATAAGGTAGGGTCCTGTCTGAAGTTTATCCAATAGAGCATAGCCATTCTCTTAATTAGCCATCAGATATTTATTGCGCGTCTGCCATGGCTAAGTGAGAGAAGGTATGACCAAATCTGGGCTATAGCTCTGGTCTTTATTTCCTGATGCATTCTTCTTTCCAGTGTAGCTCTCAAGTAACCGCACACTGAAATATAGTTCCAAGTCAGTGATTGGAGTGTATATAACTGGGTCAATTTCAGATTTTACTGCTATCTTTGATAATCTTCTCAATTCTGTGGCAATAAGCATGTTAGTCTATAATCCCTTCTTTCTGCTTTACACCTGATAAACTGTTTAAGAAGCCATTTTGTCAAGGTACATAAAACCATTGCTTTCTAATCTTACTGGGGTTGCATAATATTTGTCTAAAATAATGTCTGGAAGAAAGACATGCTTTACCACTTGAAGAATTTTGCTCTAACAATATATCAAAGAAGTAAAGAGTTCAGCATGTAGGCAGGGGTGAGGGGGGTGTCGGTGAGTGGTAGAGTACTTGCCTAGCATGTATTACACCCTGGGTTCCATCCCCAGTACTGTCAAAAAAAAAAAATAAGCATGTTCCCTTCATCCTCTGAAATGGAATGCTGACATTCCCTTATGTCCATTTCAGGTCTCTGTCAGCATCATCAAAACATCAGTGCAGGGCTGAGGTTGTAGCTCAGCAGTAGAGCGCTCACCTAGCATATGAGAGGTCCTGGGTTTGATCCTCAGCACCACATAAAAATGAATAAATAAAATAAAGGTATTGTGTCCAACTATAACTAAAAAATAAATATAAAAAAATCAGTGCCAACAAGGATTCATTAACAAGCTACTGTGTGCCCAACCCTAGGCTAGGTACTAAAGGAAAAAGAAGAGGAGCTTCCTTTCCAGTGAGCAATGTGGCATCCACATGGAAAAGAATGAGCAGAGAAAACAGAGGTCTAGCATTTGCTAAGTACCTGTTAGGTACCCAACACTTTACAAACCTTTTAAGGCCGGAGTTACCCCTGTTTAATGGGTGAACAAACTGAGGAGTGTCAGGGTGTAGACAGCATGCCTAAGATCCTGTAGCTAGTAAATGGTAGAACTAGGATTTGAACACAGGTCCCTCAGACTTAAAATTAGAGCATAATATGAAAGAGATGATTTATATCAACTACTGGGTTGCATGAGCCAACCAAGGAATACTGAAGGACTTTCAGGGAGATACATGGAATGTATGAAGGCCAAGTTGGGGCCTTTTTGGGGGTAGGGTGTGTCTGGAATCTAATGGCCTGTGGCAGATGTTCCCTTTGCAAAATAACCAACTGATCCCATTGAAGGGTCCAGGCTTTGTCATCTCTTCTGGGGAGGTGGGAAGGAGAAGCTGGTTCAGGTTTCTACATTCAACTCCAAATGCCCCCTCTCTGAGGTTAGCTGAACTACTACTCTTCCCCAAGTACCTGACTTCAAGTGGGTAGCTCAACACCAAGAACTTCCTGGCCTGCCTTCTCCCTCCTTCCCACTTGATACTTCTGTTCACATTGAAGGGCTAAAAGGAATTTAACATGTTTCTGCTTTTTTTTTTTCCATGGCAGGGAGAAGAGCTGGCTTAGGCAAATACGGAACCTTTCCAGTCTGTTCAAGCCATTACCAATGGATAGCTCCACCTGAAACATCAGGTCCATAGATTAAAATGAAAGAAGGCCACACACATTCTCTGACTTTTCTTTCCAGTGGGGATAATTAAGATGGGGAAAAGGGAAACTTTATTTCTTTTTCTCTCTCATTTTAATTTTTTTTGGGCAGTTGAACCCAGGGGCACTTTACCACTGAGCTACATTTCCAGCCCCTTCTTTTATTTTTTGGGGGGACAGGGTGTCCCTAAGTTGCCCAGACTGGCTACCTTGAACTTGTGATGCTCCTGCCTCAGCCTCCTGAGTTGCTGGGATTACAGACTTACATCACTCAGCCAAGTGAGCAAGTTTTGTTTCTAAGTCTATACTTTTAGTTCTCAAGAATCAAGGAGGGGTGGTATAGAGTGGTGGTGGAATGGACTTCTTTCAAAAGAAAAATTGGAAAACGAAAGATTTTATAAGGCACTTAAAATAAATGCAGTATTGTGCTTGAGAGTTGATGTTTTCTAAATTTTGAAATAAATTATATTCATAGGAACTTGCCCTTCATCCAATGGTTACATCTTACATAATGATAGTATAATAGAAAGCCTAGAAAATTTGATACAGGTACAATGTGTGTCTAGTGCTATGCCTTTCTATTAAATGTAAAGATCTCCTTCCTATATCCCTCTATACTCATACCCACACCTCTCCCCATCCCTGCCTCTGGTAACCATTACTTTGTTCTCCATCTCTATAATTTTGCAATTTTAAAGTACTTTCCTAGCCAGTTATCATGGTTCATGCCTTATAATCCCCGCAACTCAGGAGGACAAAACAGGAGGATTGCAAGTTCAAGGCCAGCCTCAGCAACTTAGTGAAGTACTGTCTCAAAACCAAAAATTAAAAAGGCTATAGATATATCTCAGTGGTAGAGTGCTTGTCTAGCATGTGTGAGGTCCTGGGTCCAATCCCCAGTACTGCAAAAAGAAAAGAAACAAAATAACAACTCAAAGTAGTGCTAAAATGAGAAGGGGTTAGCAGAGGGGAAGCCCTAGGGAATTCCATGGCAAGGATTAATTTAGACCCCTCCCCCCAATGGAGTATTACCTTGCTTTTCATGAAGAGTACCATGCTCCCCTCACCTTAACAGTGGCACACACACAAGCCAGGCTCAGACCTATTAGGATGTTGTGCCCTTTAGAAGAAATGACTTTAGGCTAGTGGCTCCATCCACAGCTGGCCCCAGAGATAGAGGAGGGAGCTGATATCTGCCTTTGAACCATGGAACACTATAGTCCTGGTAACTGGCCCCAGGTCCCACATTCTGAGTAGGAACCCCCCACCTTCCAGAACATTCCATCCTTCCCCTTCGGTGAAGCAGTGAGCAAAAGAAAGACAGAATGCACCTAGTTCTGTGCCCTACTCCAAATGTTCTTGCTGTGGGCTGCATCATAGCCACAACCAAAGGCCCTCTATATGCATGATGAATGCAGGTACTTATGATTCAAGTTCCCCACCAACACCCACCAAATAACACATCTGTGTAATTTGTGATTTCCAAAGTGAAAATGTTATTGGAATCAAAAGTCCAGGCTTCCCACCACTTAAGTACCAATATTCAGGAGGTGAGTGTTGGGAGGAATGAATCAGGCCAGCCCTGAGAAAGGTAATGGGGCTAGTTCCTCAAAGATCTATCTTCTTGGCTCAGGGAGGCAAGTGGTTTTTATGGGGAGGGAAGGAAGTGATGAGTCTGTAGGCTGGACAGGCTCTTCCTCAGCGAGGGCAGTTAACATCTATGCAGGGGCTTTTCTTAGGCCAAAGGATAGGGAAGGCTAGAAGGGCAAAAGGGAAGGGAGGGGGAGCCAAGGACAGTTTTTTTTTTTTTTTTGATGGTGCTAGGCATTGAACCCAGGGCCTGTGCATGCAAGGCAAGCACTCTACCAACTGAGCTATATCCCCAGCCCATGAAGGATCATTTCAAAGGGAGCCCTTATTACAATATCATTTTTTGAACTCATTTAATAATCCTACCATGATCTTTGTTGCCTTTTTTGTTTGTTGTTGTTGTTTTTAATTGTATTATGGAGGTCTGAACCCAGAGGCACTCTACCACTGATCTGCATCCCAGCCCTTTTCCTTTTTTATTTTGAGACAGGGTCTTGATAGGATGCTGAGGCTGACCTCCAACTTGCCATCCTCTTGCCTCAGCCTCTCAAGTCTCTGGGATTACTGGTGTGCACCACCACACCTGGCTGCCTTGATTTTCTTAGTAGGTGATTTTTGTGGCCATTCCTGTGCTATCTTTTTCTTCAGTTTTTGAGAAGTTGGAAAGAACACAGGGCCAGTGTCTGGTCTGGATGCCAGTCTTGGCTCTGCCTCTTAGTGGCTGGGCAAGCTATGCCATTAACATAGACCACACATGATTGTGTATTTCTACAATGTTCAGAATTTATTGAAAAATAATAAATTCACAGGCTACACTACTCTTAGTGGTGGCAGTTCATCAAATACTCTTGGGTCACCTGCTACTCATAAGCGGGGCTATCTCAAGTTCTTTTATTCCTATCTTAACTACTAATATCAATAATGCTGAAGTCATACATCACCCTTTACACAATATATATATATATA